CGTCGTGGAAGAGAAATTGTTTGAGCTGTGTTTCCGAGGTAACAAAGAGGCGACGGATGGCCTGGATCGCAGCCATTCAAAGACCAAATATAACGTCCCAGAACAGCTCACAGGTGAGTCTGCTCCAAACATTCACACAAAGGTCAGTTTTCTGTTGTTGTTATTACGTCATTTATCATAATTGTTGATGTCGGTTACAAATAAGTCTTAATTTCATTTGAATTGAATTCGTTGCTTTGCTGCTTTGTTCACTGTGGCTTTGCGGGCTAATGTTTGTTGTGTTTTTAGGAAAACCAGCCAACAAAATGCAGGAATGTGATCCAAAATGAGCCCTCTATCAGCCCGGGTCACACCGAGTTTAAAGCTGCTACCACAGTGAGATCTGATTGGTTAAGAGAGAGCGAGATCAAAACAGCCACGAAACGCCTGCATACATGTGCCGAAGTGTTGTATTGAAGCAAGCAAGTGATGAATAACTGTTTTCCAGTATGTTGTTTTTTTGTTTTTGCATTGTTGATTTGTTTTTCACCAAAGCAGCTAATAAAGCATAACGGGATACAATGTTGCCTCTTTCTTGTCAGGTAATAGAATAAAACAATGATGCCAGTTATAAATAAAGACAATAAATTGAGTGAATTACGAAACACTCATTTTATTTCTACTGGATCTGAAAATGTTGTGTAACACTACAACCTGAAACGACAAACAGATGTGTTGGCCTGTAACAGCAGCTGTGAGAGGGAAAAATCACCGAAGTAAACTGGAGCTGGGCTTGTTGCAGGATCTGAAGTTAATAAACGTGAAGTGCATACACTCACGCTTAGGACCATATAATAATAAATATGTGCGTGATGAAGGTCGGGCAGCACGCTAACGTCCTTGCGCCACTCTGTATGCTCGTGTGGGTCTGACCCTTTCACTCCTTTGAGTTTTGTTGCCTCCTCGTCACGTCTGTGTTTGTACGAAGCTGCGAGGTCTCCTTCGTTTTGAACAGAACTGTTTTTGGGGCAAATAAAATGCAAGTAGGGATTAAAACCGCAGAATTAATGATTACCGGTGCTGGAAACGCTAGCGCTTGATGCAGTGCATTGATTTTGCCGCCACTCATACCTACAATGCAATGCGCGAAAGTCACGTGGTCTGTCTGTGGAAGGTGGCGGCTGAGGAGAAAAGGACTTTCCTGTTCCAGTTGGGACTCGGACGTCCGTGTTTAGGTTGTTTCACGCTGTATGTTTGTCTGTTTCCAGGATCAATAAAGTTTTGTGTTGTTCTCCATAGTGAAAGATTTACGACTCTGATTTTTGGAGGTTAATCTGTGAGCCCCCCGCCCCGTAGGCCCCCTAGCTACGGCCCTGTAACATCGATCGCTCATCAATAATCAGTCGAACGAATCCGTGGATCAGTAACCGAGTCTGGACTCCGTTCAGTGTCCGCTGCTCGGACCCGGAGCCCCTCACAGCGGGCCCGGCTCCAGCTGGGACGGTGCTGGCAGCAGCCGC